ACAAGTTACCGTGTTGTTCAGACCGCGGCAACTCCTACGTCGTGGAGCTCCCGGACGAGGAGAGGGTGGCGTGGATCTGGATGCTGCTGCTGGCGTTCGCCGTGCCCGAGCTCGGCACCCTGTTCCGCTCCGTCCGCATCTGCTTCTTCAAGTCGTGGCGCCGGCCGCCCTTCCTCGACTTCGCGCTCGTCTTCCTCATGGAGACGTTCCACGCGGCCGGCACGGGCCTGCTCGTGTTCGCCATCATGCCCGAGATGGACGTGGTGAAGGGCGCCATGCTGACCAACAGCCTGTGCCTCGTGCCCGGCGTCCTGGGCATGCTGTCCCGCACCAACAAGGAGGGCCAGCGCTTCGTCAAGGTGCTCGTCGACCTGGGCGCCATCGTCGCGCAGTGCACCGGGCTGGTGGTGTGGCCGCTGCTGCAGCCGGGCAACGCCACGCTCTGGACCATCCCCGTCGCGGTGCTCTGCATCTCGTGCGGCTGGTGGGAGAACTACGTCAACAAGCAGTCGCCCATCGGTGAGCAGCAGCACGACAACCTGCTTCGTGTTCTCTTGAGTGTGAATGAAAATGGCTCACATACTTTCTCTCTCCAGGCTTCATCAAGACCCTGGGTCGCGTCAAGGAACGACTAAAACGCACCCGCTACTTCACGTACATGTTCATCTCGGTGTGGAAGATCATCGTCATGTTCACCATGATGCTGCTCGTCGTCTTGTTCAAGTACGGGAACGTGTCGCACCTGTTCAACCTGCTTCCCAAGGCCCTGTCCGAACACCAGATCACCGTCTCCGAGGTGAAGATCCTGGGCACAAACACCCCCGTGGACCTGCTGTCCGAACTGAACCCCACCGGCGACACCGAGTTCGAGAACTCCGCTCACAAGTTCGCCCTGTACACCTGCATGGTCCAGGTGTTCGCTGCCTACATTTGCTACATTTTCGGTCAGTACCCATGCCCGCCCGCTTCTCGCCCTGCACACATTGTAACGACAAATAATTGATTCATTGACTATGTTCTCTGCTGCAGGCAAGTTCGCGTGCAAGATCATGATCCAGGGCTTCAGCTACGCCTTCCCCGTCAGCCTGACGGTGCCCGTCACCATCTCGCTGGTGATCGCGGCCTGCGGCCTGCGCAAGGACGACCCCTGCTACTTCGGCTCCTTCATGCCGCACTACATCTTCTTCGAGTCGCCGCCGCTGGACCTGCTCAACCAGTTCGTGTTCCAGCAGCACGCCTGGATCTGGCTGCTCTGGCTGCTCTCGCAGACCTGGATCACGCTGCACATCTGGACGCCCAAGTGCGAGCGTCTGGCGACGACGGAGAAGCTGTTCGTCACGCCCATGTACCAAGGCCTCCTCATCGACCAGTCCATGGCCATGAACAGACGGCGCGACGACGAGGCCGACGTCAAGACGGAGGACCTGACGGAGCTGGAGAAGGGCGTGGACGAGTACTACGAGACCATCTCCATCCACACGGACGCGAGTGGCTCGACGCCGGGCAAGAGCGTCAAGTCCTCGGACTACATCACGCGCATCTACGCCTGCTGCACCATGTGGCACGAGACCAAGGAGGAGATGATGGAGATGCTCAAGTCCATCCTGCGCATGGACGAGGACCAGTGCGCGCGGCGCGTCGCCCAGAAGTACCTGCGCGTCGTGGACCCCGACTACTACGA